TTAGCTAGATAACAGGAATGTGATTCAAAACCTAAGTTATTTTAGTATTTTTCCTACCAATGGTTTTTTACCAAATATGTTGCAACTTGTTTGAGGGTACTGCTAATCCGGGTCCCAGTTACTCTCATGACTATGTGAAGTAAACATGCATTTTAATGGGGTTTCAAACTTTTCCTACATATTCCTGTGAAACCTCTCCCACATTTATGAGGTCATGTTGTCTATTATGCCCTCCAATTCCCGTTTCTTTGCCATTTTTGATTCTTGAATTGACTCCACTAATGTAGAAGTAAGAATATCTCAAATATTATCGTCATGTATCTTTTGTTTCCACTTACCCTCCCCAACACAAAAGAAAAAAAAAACCATGATGATCTAGCCTCATTTACTTTGTTATCAATATATGGCGGCCTCCTATTGTTACTTTTGTGGTATGGTTATGCCTTCCTTAAATATTCTAAATTCTCAGATGAGATACTTTTGTACACCCCTAATAATGTTGCTTTGCAGGTACGTGTTTGTGCTTTCCCTGCCAGTCGATTAGGATTGCAAGGAATTGGGATCAGTCCAGACTGTAATCCTGATGATAGGGCTACCCTCGACAGGTAAATTGGTACCTCCGCATTTGAAAGATAACCTTTCCCTTGAGGATAAGATGACGAATTATTTGTTTCCTTCTATTTCAGCTTTTCAATTGGGCACTTGAGCCAGGAGAAGATGATGTTCTTGACCGGCTCTTTGAGCTCGGATATCAAGATGCAGCTGTATGGGCTAAGGACAACCCGGTTGGCGAAATAGTTGAAGACGACACTTCCTTGGTTGGTAGTGGCATAGATCAGTAGGCTGTCATTAGAGTCTCTCTTTGACCTTGAAGATGCATAAGGTTCTTGGTTACCGTCAATTACTGAGAATCCTGTTATGTCGTTTTCACATACAGGTCAGACAGACTAGCTTTCCTATAGCATATACAGCCCTTGATTATAAAAGGGTGGAACCACATTCTCTTGATATAGTATTGCAATTGTATAGCAAGCTGTAAAATTTGTTGTAAGACCGTATGTGGAATAGGGAAAAGAAAAAAAATAGGTGGTCATTGAAAATGCATTTACCAATAATGATCAATTCAGATTAGGTTCAGTTTTAGAAACCTTCTATCTCCAGACTTGTTCCTTTTGGTTTTAGTTTCAATTTCATTAGGCGGTGCTTGTACTTTTTAAAATTCTGTGGCTGGTATCGGATTTCTTGATGGTGTCGTAGATTTGGGTGTTGTTTATGATTGTAATCTTTCCAATAGAGATGAATATAATCTTTGAGGTTAGGTATATAACTCACAAGAAAGAAGCTGGATCTGAGAACATTTGATTTGAAGGATATTTCTTAGTTACACAAATCAGTTCCTGGTATACAAGTCCCATTGCCTTATCCGTATTCTTAAATATAGTTGGAACAAGGAAAAGCACGGGTTATTACATGCTTGTAAATGAACTTTTCCTTTAAACTACATTGACACGAACACGACAAACATGACTCGTTTGCCAGGAGGTCTAACGTTACCTAAGCTCACTCAAAATTACAGTGTTCAATATTATCATGTAACTTTTACCCCTTCAACTAGTGACTGCTAGTATTTCCCTAACTTTTGATGATGATCCATTAATGATCAAACCTGAGAATATGGAAAATTTGTTTTTAACTTTCAATTAGTGAGTACGGTCCAAAACGAAATGGAACATTTGAACTTGTCTTGGTCCCACAAATATGCATGCCCTTAAAGAAGTATTATTACTGATCTTGATGAAACTATTTGACCCTGTTTTCAGCCATCTCTCAATCCCAAATTTCCTACCAAACCCTACTTTACCAGTACTTAATTATAAAGTTGTATAAACATGATTCTTAATAAACACAAGTTTGAACCCATGCGTTGGTTGACCAAAGTAACTAGAACCAAAGTGGGAGACAAGTACAGCCCATTTTGCATCCTTTTTTTGCTGCAAAAGTCAAAAAAAGCATAAGAGAAGCAAGCGCATGAGACCTCCATAGTAAAAATAAAGTCATGCAGATACAGAATACAGATACTACTTTTTCACAGTGTAAGATTAAACAGAAAACACATGTTTAAGCTTTGCATGGTTGCACCACAACATAGCCTGTACACTAAAATGAAGGGTAAAAATGAAAGGGTAGTCTTGTCATAAAGGTACAACCATAAACATCAGAGAGATCATAAAGCAAGCACTTGTTGCATACAAGTCCAATTGAAAAATAGATCCAAGGAAGAAGAAAAGAAAAGGAACGCCTACATTATGTGTGTATCCACACAGGTCATACAACACCATGCACGCTCATGCACCCCCTTTCTAGAAAAAGCCAATCTCATTTCAAAAAAAGGCCTGACCAAAAAATAGATATACAAAAAGAGTCATTATGTAAATTCCACAACTGATCACCCTCTTATACCTATTTCCTCATCAAACTATCTCTCTCTCTCTCTCTCTCTCTAGGGTTTCTCAGGGGCCTTGTTACAGAGGCAATTTGGCATTCTGTCCACCTCCATATTCACAAGTACATATAGAAGAAGTTTCTTTCTTTTATTTTACAAGCTCTGGATGCGGCCAGCATGTCAAACTGGCTCTGTAAATTTCTCTCTGAGAAACTCACATAGAACACTGGAAAACCTTGGTAATATTCAAGTTCAAAAACCCTTGACTTGTGTTGCTTTTGGTGTTTTTATTTTTCACTCTTCTCATGGATTTCTCCTCCCATATATTGCATGGCACAGGTGAGTTTTGAATAAATCATAACCATTCAGCAAGTGATCTTCCTCTACATATACATTATTTGTGGTTGGAAAATTAGTAATCATAATGAACTCTTGAATCATATTCCTGATTCACAGCTCTTGGCAGGTTGATCAGACTCGAGCTCCTCATCGTATACATTGTGTTTTGTTTTGTGGACTAACTTCACTTCCTTATTTTTGCAGGCAAACTAAAGCAGCCCACGGCAACTCAATCAGAGCTTCGGAAGATTGACAAGGTGAGGTTGAAAGTTCCTGCCGGTGACAGGGAATATCCACAGTTTCTCTTTACCGAGAATCTCATCAGAGCCCGCCTTGTGAACCCTGCCGAGAGTAAGTCCACTTCTCTTTTTCTCCTCTCTTTAATAATTCCTTCGGCTACTCTTACTGTTGTCTTCATGTAGTGTCTGAGGCCAGGAAGCTTGCCGAGGCAAAGAAGATGTCAGAGACCTCGAAGCGGCGCCTCCAGGTGCTTGCAAAGGGGAAAAAACAGAAACGGCAGCCAGAGGCTTCTGCCGAGAGGGTCTCACAGGCAGACTTTGAGGAGCAACCGCTGGCCGAACGGCAAAGGCAGCGGAATGCCGAGCCTACAAACAGGAGGGTGCCGGTAGACGAGCCAGTGCTCAGCCCGCGTCAGGTAGCTGAGGCCGCTACCTCCAAGGCATCTGGGAAACAGCCTATCCAGGTGGATCTGGATACCGTTTGCACCCCCAAGCGGGTGCGGCTTACCGACCCCCCGAGGGCCATCTTCGCCGCCGAGGACGAAGGGGGACCTACCGAGGCAGTCACACTGGCGTGTCCTTCAAAGACGGTCCAGTTTGCGAACCACATGATCGTGGGTTCACAGATGGATTTGTCTGAACTCGACGAGCTGCCAAAGAAGGCTCTTAGGGAAGAGGCAGGGCGTGCCTTCCGTCTCCAGGCCACGGTAACCTTCTAACTCCTAGTCTTTTGCCATTGTTATTCTTTGCTCGGCACTAACCAGTGGTTTCACCTTTCAGGCGTCAATGGACATGTGGCTGTGCATGAAGAGGGCTATTACTGCTGCCGAGCGCGCCAAACGGCTGTACGAAGAGGGCCGCTCTAAGGTTCCCGAGGCTGGGAAAGCTCTCCAAGACCACGCGAGTCTTGTGCAGGACATGCATGCTGCCGAACGGCAGATCAAGGCGCACGAGGTCAAGCTTGCCGAGATGCGTGAGGCTCTGGACGGCGCGGAGCAGGCGGCCAGGGATGCCGAGGGAGCCAAGGTGGCAGCGCAGACGGCACTGGAGGCGTCCGAGCGAGCGAAGGCGGCAGAGGTTGATGCTACCGTTAGCGAGGCGGTTAGGAACTACCGTTCCTCCGCTGAGTTCATCAATCTCCTGGACCACGAGGTTGCTTCCGAGATGGCGGACCTCATCTACCGTTTCAAGCGGTTTAACCCAGGCCAGAAACTGAACCTGAACTTCGCTGCCGATCCCCCTCCTCTACCGGAAGGCATTACAGAAGAAATGATCGAGTAGTACGAGGGGGAGGATGCCCCCGACGGTGCCGATGGTCCTGATGCCCAGGGCGCCCTGATGCTACCGTTGACGCCGTAGTCGAGACTGCCAATGACCAAGGAGATCGGACTGCCGAGGCCTGAGCTACTTCATAGTTTTGTAATTCCATTTTGTTTTGTATATATATTTTTTTTTTTTAATTTTCCGTTGGCAAAATTTCTGGACACCTTAATGCCGAGGGCATTTTTAATTCAAGTAATATTTCATTTTTATTACTTGAATTCTATCTGTATTTATTACTGCCGTAGGCAAATAACTGCTTAGGATAATTACCGATTGGGCCGTTGGCCGTTTAGGAGTTTACTTGCTCTGGATTAGCGAAGTGTCCCTACCTTCGATAGATAAACCCAAAGTAATTGTTGTACCGTCAGTAGGCACTAGGTTCTAGTAACCATTTCCCTGTAGAGGTGCCGTGGGCAAGTCTAGGGTACCGTACTGATGTGATGAGAATACCGTAGGTAATTCCAGAACATGGTACTGCCTTTGGCTCGTACCTACTTGCCAGAACCCAAGTATCACGCGCATCGGTAGGAACAAGGTCCCAATAGCCTTTCGTCCATGGAGATGCCGTGGGCAAGTCTAGGATACTGTATAGCTTTACAGTCTGCTCGTTGAGAATACCGTAGGCAATTCCAGAGCGTGGTACTGCCGTTGGCTCGTACCCAATGCTTGTTGCCAAAAAATTGTAAAACGGCCAAGGCATCCTTGAATCGGTAGGTTAAAGTAAAGAGCGTAGCTTTTGATTGCCGTGGGCAATGTTGCTGTGGCTCGTAACTAATGAGCCCTACCAAAACATTTTTCTTTGAACAAGGTGCCGTTTAGGCTATAACGTTTCAAATATACGCAACTGAATAATCTCATTTTATATATAAGTGCCGTAGGCAAAAATACAAATTCCTCCCTGCCGTTGGCTAAGGGGCTTCATTTAAAATAACTCTTGAGATGGTCCACATTCCATGGGT